ACCGAGCGATTCTGTGATTCTGTGTGATTCCCAGTGCAGCCCGGATGCTGCAAATTAATGTCTGCTTAGGTATTAGACATACCAGTTAAATTCCTTGTGGTGCCATACTCTAAAAACAGTCAAGAGAATCATTTGAATATAAAACTCTCTCTAAGTAAGAGTCTTTTACGCTAATAATTAAATTAATAGTTAAAAATTAACTAATAATTTTGCCAATTAGGGCAGTGTCACACCAGCAGTTTAATTCACAGACATGAACAAGCAGTAAGTAACCCTTTCAGCTGATTTTGCCACTGGACAAACTGTAATATTGCACCTTTCCAGATGGTTCTGTCTGTCAGGATTTGTGTATGAACTAGCTAAAATAGGGAAGATCATCTATATGAGTAAGTCAATAAAGGACACTGCCAGATGCACCTCAATGCAGGCCTAATTCAACCCGTCAGCAGCTACACAAGGAGCAAAGTGGCAGTATTCAAAGAAAGGAAGGAAAAAAGGCTGTTTCCAGCAGCTACTGCCTTGAAGGTGCCACTGAAATAGCAGACACAAGGCCTTTGCGTAAAGCAATTTCTGGATGTCTTCCCAAGCACAGAAAGTGTCGTTGGTTCAAATGTCTCATTACTCCTCATCCCTCAGGCAGCTTTAGGAATGGGAAGAAAAATAGAAGCTAGCTGTGAGCACAAAGGTATGTACCAGTTCAGGTCTTCCAGCACAGGAAAGCCACTAAAATAACTGCTACCAGCAGCAATTATTTTAATCCATGAGGACTTGTGGTTTGTTTTTATTTTTATTCTGAGAGCTGCTTTTGTATTTCTAAACACGCCTCAAGTCTGTTCTGGATACCAGACAAATAGACCTCAGGTTTTTTGAGAGGAAAGACACTTGAAGTTCAGAATACTTACTCTTCTTGCCCTGTATGATTTTCTTCTTGCCAGCTGTTTTCGCCTTTCTTCTTTCAAAGCTGCAGCCTGGGCTGGAGTTAGCTGTGCTTTATATGCATCCAACTGTTCTTTGTATTTTTGCCAGTCTGCCTTTCTAGCTTCCTCATAAGGCTACAACGCAAACAATCATCAACCTTAAACAGATGCTTTCAGTCAGAAGCACGTGACGATTAAACAGGGTAACGCTTCTAAGCCACTAATAAAAAAGGAAACGACAGACTACCCTGGAACATAACATTTTTAAAGTAAAGCAGCAATGT